CTATCTCGCATGCACCCTAGACAAAAGGAAAGGGACACATGGAAAGTTCAAGCAGTGTGCTCAGTGACAAAGGGAGGAAATGCTGCAGTCAGAACGCAGAGGCACCGCAGAGCCTCTCATCTAACCTATATTCCTCCTCTTCAAGGAAACAAGCTGCTTTGTCCTTCTCTCACATGGGCTACGGGGCCACACAACTCCTGTACTGCTTCCAGCCTGTGAGATGAATATACAATATTCATGAAGACATCAATGACATACTCTGCTGAGGGATCTACAGAGACAAATACATGAACCCGACCTCATGAAACCCCGAAACTGAATGAAAGTATGATAATTATCCAAATGATTTTAATAAAATAGTAAAAATAGTAAATGCACACAGCCTGCAGTGCCTACACACTCTAAAACATATACCAGGCTCTCAAAAACAAAGTTAAATGAGAGTCTTCAAATGGATTGTCTAGTCTCTTAGAGATGCCTCAACTGGGAAACCAGAAGAATGGATGGGAACCTGGGTACCTGGCTAATAAGAATGTGGAAAACCAGTATAGATAAAAAAGCCTGTCAGGAAAGCATCCAAAGTGGGTGGGCATACCATGGGTGACTAGTCACCCAAGCAGCTGTAGGAAAATTAACAGAGTGAAGTGTGAAAACAGAAATGTGCAAGGGGAAATACTGGTAAACTGTTCGCTACTTGTTCCTTTGCAGATGACCTGGGTGTGAGGGCTGAGGGCGGGTGAAGCAGAAGGAGCTCGAGAAGAAAGAAAAGAAAGAGAGATCAATTAACCTTTCCTAAGTCCTAAAGCTTGGCGTGTTAGACTTGATCTCAGAGCCAATATTCCTGAAGGCAGTACTGGCTGATGTTTGGAATGATTGCTTTTCTGCTTCCTGCCACACATCTCACTGGTCTCAGAAGCTGTTCCTGAAGACAGAGGTTTCGATAAAAAGGCTGTTACAGCAAGCCGGGGAGAGGGGTCAAAGCTTCAACATGACAACTGGTCATGGGCACATTAGAGAAGTCAAAGACAGTAGTCCATCAGTCCTTGCTGAATAATAATTTGCTCAGGACGCATTGATGAAAACTGATTAGCAACTGGTCCTGCTTAGAAAAATAGTGTGAACACTTTAGCCCCCTCCTCTTCTCCCTGACGCTCTCATATTGTCCTCTTCCATCCATCCCTCCATCCCCTCCCCTATCCTCTCCCCTGCCTTCTTTCCTAGGCAATTATACACCTGGGTGAGTTAGGAAATGTGCCAGACAGAAAATGTTTCTGCATTAACAGTATGAGCCCCCTCCCCCAAATTACAAAGATTATTCCAGAATATGAAGATTTGGTCTGATATCGTCTGCTTTTGTAAAACTTATAGTGACAAATTTATTCAATAATGTTACTTTCCTCCATGCTTCTACTAACTGCTGGTGAACAAAATAAGGAAGTAAAGGCAACACTAAACTTTTGAAACACTAAATGGATTTGCATAAAAAATTGACACATGCATGATTTTCTATTCCTTTTGTAGTGGCCATCTTGTCTAACTGAGGCTTTCTGGCAGACAGGGCCTAATGGCTGCTATGCGGAGCCTCAGACAGAGAGTAGGAAGACAGATTTGAAAGCTGCTTTTCTATTCCCTGTTTTCAAAAGGTCTGACCTGAAATTATATTTTAGAATATCATTAAGTCTTATGAAGAATGGCTTGTTTTCTATTTTAATTCATTCCTAATGTTTTGTTAAAGATGACTTTATCCCTTCAGGGAGGTAAACCACAGTAACACTTGTTAAGCAAAAAAATAAAAATAAATAAAAAATAAAATTATACTGTTTTCAGAAACATCCTCCTATAGGTTTTTTTTTTTTTTTTTTTTTTTTTTAAACAATGCCATTCTGAAGTGTAAAGTCACTGGTTAGATTCAATGAAATCCTTCCTACTTATCATCACTCTAAAGGATAAGTGACAGGAATTCTTGAAGATGAGAATCAAGTAAATATGGGCTATCTGATGAAGAGAAAGAATTCAGTCCATGGGAAGTTACACTATTCATGCACTGCTCATGAATTCAAAAGACACAGGAAAGTGCAGAACAGCAATCAACAGAGAATGCAAAGATGGTTTCTCGAATAATCTCACAAAGGTGTTGCTCATTTTATAACTCCAGTTTTATTCTTGTCAGTTCCAAAAGCACCTTGGAATTGTATGCTCATCTGAAAAGTGTTAAAGTCCTTTTCAAGTCAGTAGACTTGGCAGGAGGTAGAGAACTGAAGACAGGGACAGCACTGGACCCGTAGCTTAAGTGATTTCCTGACAGAACAGTTCTTTCTACACAATAGCAGCCCCTTGGTGTCTGTGGCTAAGCAGAGGAAAACCAAGGTGTCTAAAATTTATAATTCACTGTCCTGTGTGGTGTCAGCAAAATAAACATGACTTTTAAAAAATATGAGCCAAGTTGTTATTTCTCAGGAACCTCCTAACAAAGCATTACACAACAAAGCAGAATTTTCAGTTTTTTGAAATGAATTTCCATGAACAACTTGTTCCACGCATTTTCAGAAGCTGTGAGAAAAACACTATTTTGAAAATCACCATGTGTACGCTAGAGGAGCTACAGATGCTGGAATTCTTCTAGAATTTGCATGTCTGCTTTGCACCCCTCATCCATATTCCCGAGTATACTCTCTGCTTCTATAGTTCATGTTAGTAGATGACGAGGAAAGTATTAATCCCTCACTGGATACAATGATGTTATGAAAAGCTGGGCTTCTTTTTTTTTTTCTTTCTTTTTTGAGAAGCTGGGTTTCTACAACACAAAATGTTTATATTATTGGAATAAAATGGAATTTTCTCCTTTCATTTCAAAGCGTCCACTTTAATATAGAAAAGTAGAATTTAATATTGATTGAAGCCAAACCAGGAATGGTGGCACACACCTATGATGCTGGCACATGAGAGGACCTTAACTTTCAGGTTAGCCTAAGCTACATAGTAAGACCCTTCTCAAATAGCAAACCAAAATGTATCTTTGGAACAAAATTGTTGCATGTCTGTAAAATCACTGCTTTATCTAAGTATATTCTAGATGTAGTAGTAGCTACATTAACCAACCATGATATAAAAAAAAGACAAAGATTAAACCAATACTACAATTACCAGGCTGAGAGTACTGAGCATCTCAAAGCGTAGCCCATACTTAGTACATCTACCTTCACTATTTATGCAACAGACAGACACATCTACCCAGTTTAAAGCCTAATCAATGTAGAGGCCATCGATGTTCCTCTCGTGGGCAGGATGCCCCTTACATCAAGAGCATGTGAAGACGCCCTTTGCAAAGAGAGCCTTATGAAGTTACTGGAGAAGCCATTTGTCTCCTCCTCCTGCTGTTCCCTTCTCAGGGATGCTCCACAAAGTTTTCCTAGTTTTACATGAATTATGATGAACTTATACATTCCATCCCAAACATAGCACTGCTCATGGCAATTTCTATCTGAGTAAGAAGCGTTTATGAGAAATAACTTCACTATCTTCACTTGGCAGCTCTGTGATGACACTAGCAACATGGCCTTTGTTCAAATATAATGGGCTTTTGTGAATAATACACAGAAAAGGTAGCTGGGTGAAACAGGAGTTTCTTGTGCCTCATTTTAAAAAATCTTTTCTAATCTTAACATACACCCCCACTAAAAAGAAGTCTGTAGTTTTGTTTATCTTTTTTAACTGTTTGGGGGCCCTCCACCTAGCTCCCAAATAAATACACAGCAACTTATTCTTACTTATGAATTCCCAGCCTTAGCTTGGCTTGTTTCTAGCCAGCTTTTCTAACTTAAATTATCTGGTTTCTCTTTAACTACAATTTGCCTCTGGGCTTTCTACCTTTCTTTATGTTATGTGTCCTTCTTTCTCCGTGGCTGGCTGTGTGGCTGGAAACTGGTGTCCTCCTCTCCTTCACCTTTTCTCATTCCTTCCCACTTTTTCCTAGATTTCTCCTCCTATTTACTCTCTGTGCCCACCAGCCCTGCTTTTTTCTCTCTCCTGCCTTTCTATTGGCCATTCAGCTTTTTATTAGACCAATCAGGTCTAGTTTTAGGCAGGCAAGGTAACACAGTTTTACAAAGTTCAGCAAATGCAACATAAAACAATGCAACACATCTTTACATCATTAAACAAATGTTCCACAGCATAAACAAATGTAACACAACTTAAACTAATATTTCACAACAGAAGTCAAACACAGAATGTCTTTTTCAACCACACTCCACCTTATATGTGAGGCGGGGTCTCTCACATTTCACATTACCCTGGGCTCACCAACTCAGTTACTGTAGTTTGTCAGCTTGCTTCAGGAAGCCCATCTCCTCGTTCAGCATGTTGGTGTTACAGGTGGGCTGCCCCGCCCATAAAGTTGTGTGGATACTGGCAATTCAAGCTGTGGTTTCCCTGCCTACACAGCAAGCACTTTCCCCTGAGCTATCTCCATAGTCCAGTTTATGCTTTTTAAAGTAAATATTCCCCTACACCACATATATATGAGATATATCTCTAGATATATCATAGACACAAATATATATATATATATATATATATATATACTTAGTATGCATGCAGGTACACACATGCAAATAATAAATTATACACATGAATTATTTTATGTCTCTGCTTTTCAGAGCTAATGAACTGAATTAAGTTCTTTCAGAATACATAATTCTGTCTAATCTGACATTTACTCTAACAACAAAAATTATATGTTGCAATATTAACACATTTGTCTACTACAACAGGCAAATTAGCATTCTAACCACTTATCAAAGTTTGGGGGTCATAGCTCAGTGGTAAAACACTTACGGAGCATGCACAGGTCCTGGCTCAAATCCTCAGCATTGAAGGAAGAAGAAAATAACCAAACCTTGTGAAAGATACCGAATACTTTCTCAGTGTACTCAAGAAGAAAACATGACAACATAGAGAACTAGGTCACTTGAGAAAGACAGATCCATACTCTCACTTACTTGTCTCCAAAAAACTTCCTCCAGAATTCAGCAGCATCTGCCTTTGTGATGCGGAAGTTGTCACCCTGGAACTGGCCATTGGGAAAGATTGCCTTAATTTCTGCCAGCATGTGACTGAAGATAAGGGACAATTTTGTAAGATTCCGTCTGTACAAGGGGAAAAAAAATGAAGAGCGGTAAATGGGTGCATGCAGCCTTTAATGGAAATTTATATTAAGCCAAGTAAATTCTGTATTTATCATTCTGAGTCTTAGGAGTCAGTCATGAACCTAAAAATAGGTTGATCTCAAGTTGAGAATCCATCTAAAATAATGTTCGCCGCACAATTACATTCCTAACACGTTTTTATTTTATCCTATACCCATGTATTTACTTAACAGAAATATGAGCACGGAAAATTATGTAATTTCATTCATTAAACTCACAGTTTAATGAGAAAGATAAACCCATGGATAGCATACTCTAAATACAAGTGCTAAACACAAATGACAGGGTGCTATTTGTACCCAGAAAAGGAAAGGGAAAACATGCCCCAAGAGGAGAGCCCAGGAAGATATGTAATTGCATGGCACATGGATGTCCTGAGGAGAAGAGAAGAGGATGGGGGAGGAGAGGGTGCTGAAAGCATCAGAAGCAAAGCTTTCAGAGGATGGTTATCACTTTGGCTCTCTGGAGCACGGCAGAAGGAAAGATGCGACAGGAAATGGGATGAGAGGACATTCATTTGTACTTGACATCAAGAGAGCCAAATGAAGGAGCCAAAGTTTCTCTGAGTTCACTGGCCTCATCTACCTACAAATGAGATGTCTTTGTGAAGGGATTTAGGAACAAACATTTGCAGACTTTCCTGGGTCATTCTAACATATTTCCCTCATTATGAAGACTACTATATGGGAAGGGGAGCCAAAACAGAAAAAATGAAATGTCTCAAAAGCATGATGTGACAACAGGATGAGAAAAGATGGCTAAGAAAGAAAGTAAATTCAGGGATTCTCCATTCTAATTCCCTAGCTTTGGGGGATTCCTATGTAATTTAAAACATGTCTCAAAGGCCAAAATACCTACCTGCACTACCACCTGCAATAGCTCCTATTTCTTAACTTTATGACATAAACAGTGTTGAAAGGCCCTCAACTGCCAGTGCTAGATAATGAAGAAGCAACTGAATGAAACACAAAATGTTAAACAAAATTATTTTAAAGTAAGCTTAAGCCTTTAGTTCCAGCACTCGGGAGGCAGAGGAAGGTAGATCTCTGTGAGTTCGAGACCAGCCTGTTCTACAAGAGCTAGTTCCAGAACAGCCTCCAAAGCCACAGAGAACCCCTATGTTGAAAAACTAAAGACTTTTAGTCTTTACATTCTTTGACTCACAATCACCAGCCAGAACTCAACCAATACACACACACACACACACACACACACACACACACACACACACACACACACACACACACCACATACAACTTACTTCTATTTTGAGGCTTTAAACCATTTTGTGTGCATATGTGTGTTGGGGGCTGGGGTGGGGCAACTGCCTCAAGAAAACAAGAAAACGCACATGAAATATAGAGTGATTCAACTTGGAATATATAAAACCTTGTAGTTCAGCAATGTCTTTGTCACTAAAAAATCATGCTACTCTGCCCATTTTTTCCCTCTTGAATCTGTACTTAATGTCAACAGAAAAATAAGAACACACAAAACAAAGAACAATAGCAACAACAACAAAAAAAATGTTTGGAAGAGATAGTGTTACATGATCCCATGGGAGTTTTGCTCCCTAAAACACTTTTAAAGATACATAAGATGAACAGAGAAAAGAAATGCAGACACTCTTGAAGAGACAGTAAAAATAAAGAGGAAACAATAGGCATAAACTGTGTTGTCATATATGTTTATGTCAAGCAAAGTGCCAAGTAGTCTGGTAACACACATTACCTATGAAGATTCATTTCTAAAGAGTCAAAAGTTAGCAGTCTGCAGATTCACTATCACTGTCCACAACTCTTCATTTTCTGAAATACATCCACACTGGTGCTCAACACAACCTCATCTGAGTTCAAATCTGCTACTCAGCTGAATCTTTAGGATTGACCTGGCTGTCCTGTGCCTCCCCATCCATTCAGATTAAAATGACAGCTGGTGTTAAGACATGCATTTTAGGAGATGAAAAGCAAAATGTTCTGCTCTATAAAAGCAACCAAGTGTGCTCAACCTCAACTGTAAAAACCTTCAAGATCCATGCTTAAAGAAAAGAGCCACCTTAGAAAACCTGCAATGAATTAAGTCCTCTTATTAAATAAGTGGGTTAGTTTTCCACCAATCCTCCAGCTGACACATAAGAAGGAAAAAGAGACATGAATATGATTAAAATTAAGATAAAGCAACTGTTCCTTATTTTCTAAAATGCTTGCCTCCATCCCCTTGTGTCTTTGTTCTTTAATCCTGTCCAAATGTTTCTAATTTTTCCTTGCAAGGTGTAAGTCTGAGGCATAAAGTCAGCAATTACTAACCTTAGATATTTGAGCCACAGAAGATGGAAGAGAACAGAGTGAGTTAACTTGTTCATTGGCTACTCAGACACTCAACATGTAAAGCAGAAACATGAACACTTGTATAATTTAAAAACTACAGGCTCTAATAGTCACGACTACATACATGAATAACCACTCCTTATTTCTTAATGTGCATAGGTCCATTGTTTTTAAACCTGCATATGGGTCACTAAAATTTTGTCAGACTTGTTTTACATGACCTGAGATAAAGAAAAATACATACTTGACCTGTATTTTTTTTAAAGAAACTCCAACTTGTGTTGTTAAAAGTATTTGGAGGCATGAGGGGATGGGAGGGAGAGGGAACAGGGGATTGATATGTAAAATAAGATTGCTTCTAAATAAAAAAATATTTGGAGACATTAGTATCACGTTCTCTTAATTTTCATATAGTCCAGAATCTGGAATTTTATTATATTTACACATACCCCACAAATACGTAAATAACCATTTTGGGACCTCATTGCCAAAAACATTGATTTGTGAAGCTTATAATTCAATGAGGTTAATTAAATCTTTTATTACTATTTAAATTTATTGTCATAGTAGTCAGACTATGGCATTCCTATATTTTTCTATGTAGTATATACTTTATGTAATTACCCACCATATTCTCTATTATAGACACCTAGCTTTTAACAACATCCTACCTTCAAAGAAAGTACAAAAATTACATTTATTTCTAAGCATCTAATACTGGGGAAGAAAGAAAGCCTCACTGACCATGTTCTCTGAGGCTGAGATATTTGTTCCTCTCATAGTCATTCCACAGTGAGACAGCTTTTCCTAAAGCCACCTGATCTGCCACCATCTGATCGGAAATAATGACTAATTAATAGCGGGTTTCCGTGATTGCTAATTACAACTCTCCTGCCCCACCACAACTAAAAAAAAAAAAAAAATCTGTTAAAAAAGACCACAATGTAACAACGTTACAAATATAATTCTAAGTTTATTTACAAGGAATTTTGCATTATGAATTCTTCATTTACAAGAAAAAGTTCTCAATACTATTTATCTTCTATTAACCATCACAGCTTGAGCCATTTTTCATTTATTTTTGTGGGGAACTTTGTTTATAAAACATTGTTTCAGACTGAAGGTATTCGGAAATACCAACCAATCAGAAAGTAGACATTAGTACAGAATAGAACTACTGAAGATGTCAACATTGCAGGAGACTAAAAAGGAGGGAAGGAGGTGAAAAAATAAACAAGCAAACAAGAGCAGAAAACTAAAGGTGGTTTTGCTGTTTTTTGAACACTGTGCCCAATGCATCAAGGCCATCATCAGCCAAGCTTCAGGACACCCTTCTGTTCTAGATTCAGTCTCCAACACTGTAAACATTTTCAATGGTGTGAATCAAGTCTCTGAAACTTAAGCACATTTGTAGACTGTGCAACAAAAACATACGGCTGAATTAGAATGAATAAATGACTTAATTGACGTCACCTCACTGCTTATGAGTAAGTCCAAGTAGTTTAGATGGCTCTAGCCAATATCATAAAAGGCAAAGAACAAATGCAGTTTGATTCTGAGATATATAGGGCTACTATTAGTGAACTCGGCACAAAGAGAATATTACAATAAAACACGTCAGAGTGGAGTGGTGATACACTCTAATCATGGCCATTAAAACTTGATGGTCTAATGTTGAAAATGAATCAATAACATCAAATTTTCATTGGTGGCATCCACTGAACATGAGAGATGCACAAAGCACACAATCTGGTGAGATTACATGTTGCTGGATTGCTCCATTGGAGAAATAGCTGTCGTAAATCAAGGAGGAAATAAAAAGTCTAAATTAGTCAAAAACTTTAAAAGATATTTAATTAGTGAAGTCCAAACTTCAGGAGAATGTGCTGCTCTGGGTAGAAGAAATGGAGGACCGTAATTTACCAAAACTATTAGTAATTCAGTTCTCACATTTTAAAGCTAGAGCACATGCTCCTAACTCTTTCCAAGGGGAAACAAAGCTAACATAAACCCAAGCATCACACAGAGCATGTAAACACAGGCACTCCAAAGGAAGCTCAAGGACAGTTGAGTAGCAATTTCTACTGCATTCTTGATGCAGTAGAAATCCAAGACAGGCTTAGAGGGGCTCCAACCTCAGTGGACCTTGGGCATTCTCATTCCCAAGGGAGCATGGAAATGGGCTGATGTCAGCCTTGCCTTTCATTTCTCCCTCCTGAGAACAGTCTATTATCAAGAAGAGACCTGACAGTCTGAAAATAAAACAGTATTACTCACTCCCTCTGTCCAAATACTAATAGCCATCAAGACTAATAGCCATCAAGGGGATTGACAGAGTTTTTAAAACCCAATACCAAGCTAGAAGTGAAGCATGGTGGCTTGGTTCAAGTCACAGCACCAGAAGTAAAAAAAGGAGAATAGTCCAACAACTATTTACCACTGAAGACTCTGTTTACTTCAAGGCATAAGACAAGTGAGCAGTGTGCCCAGAGACAACTTAGACTGGAACAAAGGCATTAGGACTACCTGCCGACCTACATCAATTAGCTTCCTGGAAACTGAGGACTGATGGTTAACTTGGGGAGCAGAGGAGGACCAGCAAGAAGGGAATGA